AGCCTCTCACGGAAGTCCCGTGAATCTTGGGAACTTGAAGCTGATGATGTGAATGAAATGTTTGTATTTACAAAAGTTGTGTTCCCGTGTTTCATATCAGAGCTCATAAATGCAGAGCAGCAGATCCTGGCGGGACTTCTGGTCACTAAATTCATGCATGTGAATGCTTCTGTGAGTCTAGTTAACATTGCAGAGGCTGGCCTTAGGAAGTATTTGGAAACAGAGATCAATGTTCCTTTGGCTATTGAGTTGTCTCGGGATAATCGGGATGGTTCTGAGTTGTTAGCTAACTCCCTCTCCAATTTAAGGGGTAAACTGGGAAATTTGATGCGGTCTGCATTGTCTTTGCTTTCTGTTGATGCCCAAGGATAAACCTTGAGATTTTTTTGGGGAGGAGTGGGGTGCACAGCCGAAAGGGATATAAACCTTGAGATTGTTCATTCTTTATGTTTTGTTCTTGAGTTTTTTTTCAATGGAGGAATGAAAAAGATATATGTTTTCATATCTGCTAGCCGTCAACTACCAATTTGTTTACTCCATAGAAAGGTTCAGCTCACGATATCCATCCTATACGAAGTGACATAGCTTAGGGAGTTAGGGGTCATTCTGGGTCTCAATATTTGGTAATTTTTTTATATTTAATGTAAAAGGTTTTGTGTAAAAAGTTATATGAGAGATTGTTTATCAGTCCATTACAATATTTTATCCTGCTTACACTATGCACATGGTAATATTATTGGCTAAAGAGTGCTCATCGCAGGGTTTTATGATTAACTAACATAAGCCTTGGTTTTTTTTAAAAAAGCTATCATTAGCTAATTGCACTGATAACTATAAGACAATTATTGAATATTTTCTAAACTATCAAATCATTTTCATTTACCCCAGTGCCGCAAAGGCTCCCACCTACGGTGGGGTAATGGGGAATCGGATACTCGGATGTACGCAGTCTTACCCCTGTACTAAAGCACAGAGACTGTTTCTGAATGACCCATAATGATTAATGAAACTCGCGTCCAAAATTGCATTGCTTGATTGTTGTTTCATAACAAAGAAACCAAGACAGTTTAGTGAGTCATTTTGTTTTATTCCATCATATTCTCAAGCCAAAAAATAATGAATCTGGCTCTATTGCAAATGATGGAAAATTATTTTACGCAAATTATTAATTATACCGTTTGATTTGTGAACGGTTCATTTTTCATAAGCTGAAAATCACAACAGCATTGTTTTATTTTGTTTCCTCTTCTTCATATTCAAGTTATGAAGAATTTCTCTATATTTTCTTTTCTTACTCTATTTAATTTAAGTTACCAATCAATTATCAATCTAGAATTATCTGTATCTTTATTAATTTACAACTTAAGTGTTCTTCATGTATACATTAGAAAACTTCTTATGTACGGAGTATTTTTTTAATACGGTTGAAGAGAAGCCATTACCTATTCGTCATCTCCAATGCTCAGACCAAAAGAAAAAGAAAAAGAAAAACGGTGTGGGATGATGTTGACAAAGATGTGGATAGTGGCGGTCTGGCGGAGGCGACAAATTAGATAGTCGGAGGCAGCAACATGGAGGAGTCGTGAGTGTGAGGAGAGAAAGGGTGCTTTCTTATTAAAACCTGTGTTCGGAAAAGAAAGAGGGAGGACAGTTTCGATGATTTGGAACAAGTTTATAGCATAATGATTATTTTTCTTAGAATTTTGTTCTGGCGTAATTGATCGAGTGATGATTTTTCATTGTTCGTGGTTGGTAAGTCTGATTCAATCTCATTACTTGTTCTTGTCCTGAATCATCGCTCACTACAGGAGAAAGTTAGCGCTCAATTGGTTCTCCCTTTCGGTGACCGGTCAAACCGAAATTTTAGCTCATTTCTATGCGGCTAAGTTTCCTTTGTTGGTTTCTAGTCAAGTTAATTATCCTTTTTCTCTTTCCGGCTAGTTTGCTTTTGAGTAAGACTACATAGTTGTGACATTAGTTAACTTGTTAGATCCTTTGGAGGCAATTCAATTCTATGTTTCATCTAAATGTAATCTCGATCTATTGTATTGTTTTATTTCTTGTTATTTTTATCATTAAAAAAAATCTTTTTGCCAAAAGAAGTATGACTAAAAACATATTCTCATTGTTTTTTCTTTATTTTTCCTTCTAATTTCAAGCCCATTTGGTATCCCTGTTTGCGAATTATCAGTCTTACCAATCATCTTTTTCACCAAACATGCAACATTTAAATTCACGTGTAAAATTGTGTAATAATTGTAAAATTGAAGTTACTTTTCTTACTGAATTAGTTGAAGTTACTATAAAGGCCATTTTTACTTATATATACTTTTGTTTCTTACAATTAACAAAGTTTAAGAGTGAAATAGTAATGGTAGCTAATATTGTTGAAAAAGAGACAGTGAAAAAGTATTAAAAAAACATGTAAAAATGTTTTTTAATGAAAACTTGCATCTATTCATATCATAAGTTTCAGGATCATTACATCAATCAAAGGAAAAACAAATCTGACACCAATTAAACTCCAACAACTACGACTGTAAACCCTATGTTCAGACTCAGAGACGGTCACCCCTGAAAGAGCAACTTGAATTGCTAACCATGCACCGGGCTTGACAAAACCATCTTTGTTCCCATAGATCCAAACATACATAATGACATAAAAAAGGCTACATTCCCAAACAAACTCACAAACCTAACAACATAGACGGTAACAAGAAATCTAATGACAATAATAAAAACTAATAGGAGGAGAACGAAACATGAAAAAAAAACTAAATAAGCAAAATAAATATCTTGAACCATAGCACCTCGTTCAACCTCTGGAGGTGGTTTAGGAGGAGTCCAGACCATCACTATGATTGTTGACACGAGCATGGCACGGTTCCTGCCCGTTGCTTGATTGATTCCCTAACGTGCAACATTCGTCTGTCCAGCAATTTCAACCCCGTGGACGCCTCCCTTTCTCCCTCCCTTGGCTCTCGTAACTCCTTCTCCATTGGCCGCCACATCACGACTGGCAATATTTCTGCTAACGTTTTCCTTCTCTCCTAAACTGATCGCCGCATCAAAGGACGACTACAACTCTAGCCGTACACATGGCGGCAAAAGCTGGAAACCCTTATTAAGGGAGACGCCAGCTAGCCAGCTACTGTAAAGATGTTTTTTTTTGAAATGTCGTAAAGATGTTGAAAAAGTGAAAATATTAGGACCTGTTTACTAGCAGAGATATTTTCTGTTTTTCAAAAAAATTGGAAAACTGGAGATAGAAAAATTAGAAAAGGTGTTTACCTAACCATTTTTCAAAAAAACAAAAAACGAAACATATCTCACGTTTTACCTCTGAAATAGAAAACCGACTTTTATGCGTTTTCACTACTAGATTCGCACCCGTGCGATGCACGGGACAAAAGTTAAGTAATGTTATGTACCCAGTAATATTGCATGATTTGTGACCATTATTAATTATGTGAAAATGAATGGAAAGGGTATTATTGTAATACACAATGTAAAATTATAATAAGAAAAAGATATTTGGAGGTGATAATTGGTATGAACTATGTTTAAGCATGAAAAGGATTAAATACCTCACAAAAATAGGATTAAATAAAAATATTAGAATCAGTTTGCCAATGACTACATAATTTAAAAAACTTCTTTATAAACAACATTGATAGTGTAGTTGATTTGTTCACTGCTTGACTGCAAATGACCAATTTTAAAACCCTTACATCTGACTCACAAAATTCCGTTCAATATAAGAAACCGAGTCATGAAAAAATGAACATTGCTTAAATAAATAATATATAAATTCCTCAATATAGGGTTGAAATACAAACAAAGTTCACAAATAAGATTATATATGTCTTTTCTTAAATAAAATTATTTAGTCTTGTTAAAAGAATAAATTCACCACAACTACACAAAATAAGAGTCAATGAATCATATTTTGATAATATACGTAGTATGATGTACTAATTATCAACATCAATGATAATCATAATAAAAATAATATAACATAAAAATATTATAATAAAAAGGTTATAAAAATATAATACTAATACTAATAAAATAATGATAATATCAATAATAACAATAATGATAATAATAATAATAATAATAAGGCTAAAGGGAAATAGGTCATCAAACTAACTTAAAAAGTGCAATTCACCCCTTATTTAGGAGGCTCTGTCCGGTCGTCGCCAATTGGGGCGGTTCCTGGTGGAACTTTTTGATGATTTTTTTTTAGCATTTTCTTCACTATGTCTGATTTACCCATACCAAATTTCAGATAAAAATTCAATCGAGAAGATAGTCAAATGATTTTCTGAAATGTACTGCGCTTTTTAACTGCACAATTATCTTCAAAAATTCATTTGACTGCCTTCTCGATTGAATTTTTAGCTGAAACTTTGTATGAATAAGCTAGACTTAATGAAGAACATGTTCAAAAATTTTCATCAAAAAATTCCACTGGGAATCGCCCCAATTGGTGACAGCCGGATAGAGCCTCCTAAATAAGGGGTGAATTGCACTTTTTAAATTAGTTCGAGGGTCTATTTGACCCTTTAGCCTAATAATAATAAGAGTTAATTTGACTTTGCACCCCATATTATTGTCCAAATTGGACTTTGCACCCCGTTTTTAAAAATTTTTGTTTTTGCACCCCAATCCCATATGAAAAGACAAAAATGCTCTCAATCAGGAATATGTTGAAGACCAACACAATTGTTAATGGAGGGGCATTTTTGTCTTTTCATATGGGGTTGGGGTGCAAAAACAAATATTTTTAAAAACGGGGTGCAAAGTCCAATTTGGACAATAAAATGAGGTGCAAACTCAAATTATCCCTAATAATAACACACAATTATTCTCATTCTTCACATGCCAAATGAGTATTTGTAGATGATATGATTCTATCCTACACGGCCCAATTTAGACCTGAAGTTCAAATGTCATCATTTTTAATAAACTTTAATCAGCCCGACCCAATAACATATGTTAAATCTCCTCAGCCCAGCGACCCAAACCTATCACACCGTATCTAAACCCTTCTTCTCCTTTGCCCTCGTGTAATTCCGTCATCTCCTTCTGACCAACAGTCCGTAATCTCCTTCCAGAACTTCGTCCTCCAAAACAGTCATCGATTAGTGTGCCTCATCCATTTCAATCCTACAGTCGATGGCGCCGTTTGGTGGATGAGCTGAATTCAAGAATTTTCGACCACGTTTGCCATCCGTTTATGATTTTGGTATATACCCTTCATCTCTGTCGTTTAAGTGGGTTTTGTTGAAAGGTTATGTATTCCAATTTCTGTATCAGTTTTCGAGTGCATGCATATGTTATTGTGGCCATTTACATGTATAGTTCCATACGGTGTGTCTATAAAAATGCATTTTAACAAATTTATGTTGTAGACTAAATCTGTATTGTTTCAACAAAAAAACTCTTTAGCAGATTTATTTATTTTACCTAACCTATATATTTTTGCTTATGGGTGTACAAATCTTCTCACATCTATGGATAATCTAAACGTGTGAAAATGATGTATACATATATAGGGTTTTAAATGCAAACAATTGTTAAATTTTAGGTTAACCGAGCATGTATTTGTTCTGTGATATAATACCCTCTTTTAAACCCTATAAAAAATGAATTTGTATGTTCAATATGACTTGAAAGATTTTTTAATTAATTAAGATGGGCTGTGATATTTGAATCATGTGTCTGTTACACATTTGAAATAGATTAATTCAAAACTAACTTGAAACTAAGTTTTTTAATTAAATATATATTTTTAAAAGGCCAAGACAGTAGAATTTATATTAAAATGGGTAGTGCTGCACCTTTTGTTTTTGAAAAGTTTGTATTTGAAATGAAAAGAAGTGTTAATATCAATAATTTTGGAATAGAGTAATAGTTTATATATTGAACCTATGTAACTGGAGCTTTATTCCCAAAAAATATGTGAAACTTTGTAGTTCATTGTGCTTAATGATAATAACACATTTAATTATAAAAAATATGAATTGGTTGTTAACATAATATGTCCTAAAGTTTATTTTTTTTACTTAAATTATAGGAAACATGTTGTTCTTATTTCTGCCAGCCCGCCAGCCAGAAGAGTCTGCTACCCTACATAAGACCTATTAATAATTACTATAAAAGTTTATGATGTTATAGGCATGGACACATCTGCACACTTCATTTGACTGATCATTTTCATTGTCAAGATGTTTATATTTACCTATAGTAACCCATAGGATACTTTGTTTATGCCCATTCATTGTGACTTAAATAAAAGGACTCCATTTAGAATACATCATATCATTACAGATGACCATGCTCATTACATAATTGAACTGCTTTCAGGTAGTGTTTGTGAAAAACAATACTTCATTTAAACCTTTTACAGTTCATGAATAGGGAGCGCAGGGTTCAATTTTCGCTCACCTTAAACCTCAGGTATGACCTTAATCTTTTAATCTTCTAATTATTTCATTAAAGCATACTGTTGATGTTGACACACTATAACTTGCACCTGGTTTATTAACTAATATAGTTTGATAACATAGGAAAGGTTAAATATAAAAAAGTGTCTTTTACATACTGATATTGTACTTCTAAACAATATGATCTTCCGAAAGGAATCTCATCTACCTATTTTGTATTTGAGCTTCTCCTTTACACCTTACTCTTGAATGTTGATTGTGCTGCATATGTCTCTTAGCCTATTTGTTTCACTATCAATCCTGCAATATAAAAAAATAAAAAAATAACTGTAATAAAATCTGGTCATAGAAATCAAGACTTACCAATTAGTTTGATGTTATTGATTACCCCGTGATGCATATATATCCATCATTCCTGTCGATTTTAATGAATGTTGGCCTCAGCCCTTTGTTGAACACATCAGTGAAGACATGGAAAATATGAGCTCATTACCTTCGTTAAAAAAAAGCTCATTACCTGTTCATGGAAATTTTAGGTTCACACACTTAGAATAATGAGGAACATCAAGTCTTGTATGGCCCCGTCAAAAAAAAATAAGCTCATTACCAATTAGTTGCTTTGTTGTGTGATGTTGTTAAAATCATAGGGCTGTATTTATACTTAAATCTTTAAAGAGCCATTATCATCTTTCACAAATTACCCAATGGTTAATAGTATGTTTTCTCCCATTTATGATGACATGACATCTGAATAGAAAACAATAGGGGACTACTGTAAACTAAATATTTAATTTAATCCTCTGCAGTTTGCACGCCAACTGTATGCTGAATTAAAAGGACGGCTCTTTTGGACAGCATTGAGCCACACAATTTTGAGCCACCAAGTTTGAAAAGTCAAAAGCTGAACTTATGGACTGCAGCACTTTATGGAGCCCCGTTCCTGCATTCAATGTCACTCTGAAGATCCAGCTGCTAGCCTTTTGTTAAAACCCACCCGACCTGTTAAAACCCGACCCGACCCGTTTTCTAAACAACATTTTGGGCGGGAACACTGTTCCTTTTTTCTCCTCCTTTTGTATAATAGAAGATTTAGAAAACACGTTGCTACAGTAACTTGCTCGCTAGCCTTCTTCCCCTTCCTTCTTTTCCCCTTGACTCCGCCTAAGCTTCTCCGCCTACGTTCTCCGCCTACCTTCTTTAGTACTTGGCTTTAACCGAGCCTTCCCTTCACCCGCCTGCCCTATTTAACCTAGGAGCTGTAACGTATTGGAGAAGTGGACAGCAATTTGAAGAATATCTGTCCACTTCCATAGGTAATAAAAGTCGCTTCAAGCCTGCAAAGCTTCGTCAAACACACCGCTTCTCCAATACGTTACAGCTCCTAGGTTTACTGAAGACCATCTTCCTTCTGCATGTCAATCACGCCCAGCTTCTGTACTTAGGGAATCGCTGCTAGGAGCTGCACCCCAACATCACGGAATCTCCCAAATCTTCTATTGGCTCGTGTTCTGTCAACGAATTCTAGGTAAGCTCTCTAATAAAATGGAATTTTCAGTTTTTGTTTAAAATTTGAATGTGATTGGAATCAAAAGAGCAATTGAGCTTCTTTATTTACTACCTCTTCTTCAAGGCCAATTCAGCTTTGTTTTTTTAATACCTGGCAATTTTTTAGAAGGTTTAGATAGGGAAGGATGGAGTAATTTTTTCATTAGTTTTGAAACAACAATCTGAAACAGCATTCTTTAAAATTCGTGTGATTCAAATGAGAAGGTTTAGATAGGGAAGGATGGAGTAATTTTTTCATTAGTTTTGAAACAACATTCTGAAACAACATTTTTTAGAATGCGTGTGATTCAAATGAGAAGGCTTAGATAGGGAAGGATGGAATATGTTTTTCATAAACAACCAAAACCAGTTTTAAATATATATATATATATTATAGCCCCTATCTTTATTTTCTTTTAAATACCATGAACTGGGAACATTGTGGGGGTCAAAGCTAAGTCTGATCTAGAACATCCACTCATTGTATAAACTTTCATCACATTTTTTCCAATACACAGTATACACTCTATATCTTGGAGTTACTCACACAGAGATGGAGCACATGGAACCGATTTCGGCAATACTGAAATATTAATAAGATTATTAGACCAAACATATTACATATATAGGTAAAGCAACTTTAAAGTCTAAGAAAAGAATGCAACCAAGTACAGAGCATACATCTTCATTTTATGGGAATCAGGGAATACGATGTATGTATGGTCTATACTCAAAGTCTTTATCTAAACATAGCTTATATTTCATATTATCCCTGATATTTAACTTAGGTTGGTAACGTTGAGTTGATGTTTGGTTCCCATAAGTCTAAACCTAGTCTGTGGCTGAATGACTTGTAGTCATTTCTGTCATTTTCTGCTCTAGTCATCTACCGTTGCCCGTTGGTAGTTATTTGAGTTTGTACTTTATTTGTGTAGTTTTAGTTCTTTGAGTTTGTACTCTTCTTCCTGAAGGACAAGCCTTGGTTTCATTAATTCACATAGTTCCTTTAGTGATGATGTTAATAATACTGCACTAAACTAAACCGAGTGAAAATACTGCACTAAACTAAACATCTGAGCCAACCTAGTTTTGACTACTTTCAACTCTACAGCCATGGAGCTAAAGTTGTGGATTAATTTAAAACCTAGCTGAAATCCCTATTCATGGCATCAGAACACCAGAAATACTTCACTAGAAGTCTAGAACACCTCACCATATAAGGATGTCAAGAAAAGTTGACATCCTTATATGAAAATCTTATAAAAGAGGAAATGTTGCAACAATTAAAATACACTCTTGCCCTCCCTTCTTTTCTCCTTACTCTGCCTTATTTTCCCTTTCCTTCATAGTCCATCTGCGCATCCTCATATTCATTCTCTAGCTCTGCCCGGACAGGTTCTCTTTTCTTATCTTTTATCGCTCTCTTTTCTTATCTTTTATCGCTGCTCATCCAATCCTCTTCAATCTTGAATTCTACATGTATGGATTTTTTTAATGTACGTAAGTAATGCTTTGAAAGTGTTCGTTGAAATGTATTGTGACACTTGAAAATATCTCCCCTTCTCATTTACTTTCCTTTCTATGCGTGGTGCATAGAAATTGTGTGATAAAATGCTTGAGTTAGCCACTTGGCCTTATAATATATGCGTGCAGTTGTCTTATCTTGCTCACCAGGCTGGACTATCAACTATGACATGTTGTCTCTACATCAAAATTGGAATCATGTAGTTTTAATATAGTAGGAAAAGTTTTTATTTAGAAAATGTTTCTTCATTCGTTTAGAAATCAAATTAAGCAAAACTTTTAGACCAATATATGTGCGTATATGGGGATATACAGAGGTGAAGGAAATTTCAAAGATAAGTCCGTAAGAGCTTATATTTAAGAACTCCTTTATCAGTCAATCCATTTGCTTCTCCGTCTTTTCCGAACATACCAGTCACCAGGTCGGCTAAGGTAATGATGCAGCAGTAAAGTAGAAAGCTGAAACCTGGTAATTCGGCCCATTGTTTTTTAATCTCTAAGTTGGTTCTCAGGTTTTGCATCTTTCTCATAGACTCATAGTGCATAGCTTCTCCATCCCAATGCCTCATTTTGTGGATGCCAATTGCCAAACCATCTATTTGATCTTCATTCCAGTAGTGCAGTGTTCTTAATTTTCATTTTTGCATGATCTTAGATTTCCTTTTTGGGTATTGAGTTGTGAATAAACTTATTTAAGTTTTTTTATTTATTATACAACAACAACATTACCCCACTGTCGCAGCCCGCAAAGGCTCCCACCTACGCTGGGGTAGGGCGGTCGGATGTACGCAGCCTTACCCTATACCAAAGCACATAGAGACTGTTTCCTGATACCCATGATGAAAGTCACTCGAAAATTGCATGGAGTGACTGCTGATTCTTAAAAAAAAGCATAGACAGTTTAGTGAACCATTTTGCTTTATTCCATCATATTCCATAACCAAAAAATGGTGAGTCTGTGACTCCATTGGAAATGATGGAACTTTTTTTTTAAATCTTTTTATTTTTATTTTTTATGATGAATATAATATTTTTTTTGAAGTGTTGAACATTTCTGTATAAAACTAGAACCGCTTTGGACATTTTAATGCTAGACTATTTCCTGGTAGCCTATATTATGAATAAAAAAATGTAGATCTCTAAATGCAGGGGCAGGGAAGGAAATTTTCAATTTTATCATTTCAAGATACTTGTATGGCCTCGCAAGGTCAAAACAATTAATGAAATTGATTAAAAGTAGCAACATGAACTTAAAACAAGCCGTCCACTTGCTTCCACTGTAAAGGTGAAAGTTTTATTTATCTTGTAGTTTAGGGGAGTAAAGTTGACTTCACCGGTTCACCCTAAGGAATAAGTAAAAAGTTCCCCTGGGGAGTATAATTGGGGTTTTAGCTCATAAAATCTGAATCTCATACAAAAGTAACTCAGTATGGCTTCAAAATTGAAGAGAAATGTTGCAGAAGGTGTAGACCTAATGATTTGTAATATACAATATAGATGGTGTAGACCATCTAAACCAACCTCCCTTGATTCCATTACAAGTTGCAAACCATTAGAGTGCTTTGTGTCAATTGTGATATGAACTCTTACTTCTAGATGATATGAACTCTTCTCTTACTTTTTATCTCCTTTTCCTGCCCTTTTTTTTAATTAAAAGAGTATGAATATCAACTTCACAGGAAAGACCAGATATATACAAGAGACTGGTTCAAAATTTTGGATTTTTTATGGCACAATGCTCTCTCGCTAACATTGGTGTGTTGCCGAGAGCATGGGAGTAACTTTCATCAGTAAAAGCATCTTGGTGCGACTATCAAGGAAGTTTCGACATGTCCAAGCACGATCACTGTGCACCAATAACAAACCACCCACCAACAACAGCAATATAAACAAGGAAGTAGTAGAATCTTCCTCTTCTTCTTTGACACGATATGATGCTTACAAGGAGCTAGACAACCTCAATTTCATCACGGCTGCTAAGATTCTCTTTTCCGATCCTCGCAAGAAAAAGAAATTTGGGTAGTTTTTCCGGAACTCTCTTTCAGGCAATCTGTCCAAAACTTGTTTGAATATATATCACTTCATGATTCTTGCTTATTATCATGCAGCTGTTATACAAACATAGAATGGATATTCCGAACACATCCAGTATAAGCTGTTTTAGTAGTTTAATTTAATATATTTCTCTCTTCATTTAATAGGACTAGGATAAAGCTTATTTTTATAGGAATGAAAACATAGAGCCACAAATAGAAGAGGAAGACAAGATGAGGGCAGGTTACCAGTGCATTTAATCTGTATTGTTTTATGTTTAAGTATGGAACTTTGTTTATATGATCAAACTTCCCCTTTCAAGGAACTAAGGAAGTATACATTACACAACTCTACTTACTGATGTGTGAGTATGGTACTGTAGCCTCACTTTACTCTTTTAATTGCAGAGCAGTGATCTTATTCTTTTTTTTTAATATTTTTTATTTTTATATTTCTATATATATTATATATATTTTTTTACTCAAGGGGGGGGGGGGGTCTGGGGGAAGGGTGCTGGGGGGAGCCTGGAGTAATCAAGGCTGAAACTCACTCCATTGAGTTTCCAACCCTTGTGTGTTAGCGGGATTCGAACTCGAGACCTCCCACTAAGCACGGTAACCTCACAACCAGCTGGGCTGGAATGCGTGGTTGATCTTATTCATGTAATGTTGTAATTTTTATTTATTTATCTTTATGATGGTCAGGCTCGATTTCCATCTGGTACAACTTTTCTTTGCCTGCCTGCCTTCACTGGGTACCTCTCATCACTCATCCTTGGCTTTACTATATGTTTCAAAGTGTTATTTTGTTGTTGACATAATTTGAATGTCAAATGTCATGTAACAGCTGTGTATTTGGTAGCCCAATATGCTCGCTATGATATCAGAAGAATGGAGGCGGTAATGGAACACCTCAATTGTCTTTTTTATTTCGCTTCCACCCCACTTGTTCTTGTTGCTCCACATTCCACTACTCTTTGTAAATTTGACTATCTCACTTATTCTTCTGCTCAAGATCATTATTATTACGTCCCAAACGGGTCCTGATTGAGTAAGGTGCATCTCATCATTTTAATCAACTCAATCACATTCAAAGTATAAACTTTTATATATTATCATGAATGACCACTTTTACCCCTTATCTGTTATCATGTTATATGGATTTCAATAATGATGATTATAGTAATATAATAATAGTGATAACAACAACAATAGTAGTAGTAGTAATATGTATAGTTACATGCCACTCTAAAAAAATAGTTACATGCCTTCAGCCTACTGGAGTTGAGCCACCTCTCTCGAAAGTTTGTGAAATTGATGGGTTTATCTGCATATGAAGATGAAATTAAATGATTGTCCAGTGAAATGAGTGATTAGATGAAATTGTTACTTGTAGCTTCTGTTACAACTAAAAATTTCAAATGGTGTTGCCTTTTTGTTTGACAAGGTGTAAATATAGTGCAAGCAAAAGTAACATTTCTTAAAATCTCTTCGAGCCTTTCTACTATTTGACATCTTAACCTATTTGATCCATGAACCCAGTTCCTAGTCAAACTATATAAAACCATCTCAGAATGTGAACCTCAATGAATTGAATAGTTAAGCTCTTCAGATTTATTCAAATTAGAAGTTTATGCAGTGTGATGGTCACCAATTTTCAAATTTTCATTTCAGGAAGTGGAATTAAAAAAGAAAGCTGAAGAAGAAGCAAAAGCAAAAGAAATGGAAGAAGCAGGAGCAGATATGGAGAAAGAAGAAACATCTGATCCAAAGCTGTTGGAGTTGAAAGCGAGGTTGGACAAGTTGGAGGAGGCAGTCAAAGGAATAGTGGTTGAATCAAAAAAAGAGTCGCCTGCTGGAATTGGGAAAGGCCCAACAATTGGTAGTCAGGATAAACAAACTTCAATAGTTGGAGAGCGAAACACACAAGTATCAGGTCACAAGTAGGCACATTTCTAATGTTGAAAACTATGCAAACAAGAAGACTATTGGGGAAACACCATTTTCTTCACTCTTCAGCCTCTATTTTTGAAGTACATGCATGGTTGAGTTAATGATATACATAGTACTTGTCATCATGAGGGAAGCAATATATAGTGTATTTTCCATTATCATTCATAGTATTAAAACATGAAATCTTGTATATTGTACTCACAACAAAATATTAAAATAAATATACGAGAATGATATAATAAATTCTACACTTTCAATATGATATTTTCATGTTGATAAAAATAATGACATACTATGAACTGATGTGTTAAAATAATAATGCCATTTTGAAATCCAAATTTTTGGCATTTTTAGATTGAATATAATTGCATTTTCAAACCTGAAATTACACATTATCGTACCTAATTTACGGGAATTTACATCAAAACAACTATGGATTCGTCATATTAAATTATGATATTTTCTGATTGAAATATAAAATGTGAGAAGACTCAAAAATGATAAAAGGATTTTGAAATTGAAAATGATGGCATTGTATATTAAAGAAAAAATGGCCCGTATATTAGTATTAGAGTTTTCATTTCCAAGCATATGACAACTTTTGTATTTTCCAAAAAAGTGCCTGATTTAAAATATACGGAGCCTTGAAATTCCCGTCTCCCCGTCTCCCCCAGCGAGTCTATGTCCATCTTCAGCGAAGCATCCAGCGGCAAAGCATCCTGTGGCGAAGCATCCATCAAGCGAACTCGGAACTCCACATCGCCGGTCTCTCCATCGCTTGTCCCTGCATCACCACCGTCTACGAACACATCACCGTACCATCTCCGCCGCTTTCCAATCGCATCACCATTACCACCCCCGGCTCTGTGACCAGGGTTTGCCGAGGACGACGACACTCTGCTACCCCTCTTTGACTCTGTCTTTGCTCGCTTGTCATATTCTTCTTCTTTAATTTGTTTATTTTGTCCCAGATCTGGATCTCCCAGGTCGTCTTCTTCGTGCAGCTAGGCAATGGGGAATTGACGGGTGCAGGTGGTGAGGATGGGTTAGTGGCTGGGGCTGGGGTGAAAACCGAATCTGATTTTGGCTGAGGATGGGATTAGGCGGTGGTCAATTGATGAATAGGTGCAGTGGCGGCCATCAGACGGTTCACTATGATGGGTTTGGTGGACTGTGGCTAGTCTGATAGGCATGAGTGGGGCTGCAGTGGCAGTCAGTCACCGGACGGGCAATCACTATGATCAGAGACAGAGTGTCATTGTGGGGCGGGCAGTCACTGTGACGGTGGGGCAGTCACTGTGGCGGTGGTCAGTCACTGTGGTCAATGGGGCAGTCACTGGGGCGGTGGGGCAGTCACTATGACTGGTGGGTGGCGGTGGGGCAGTCACTGTGACAGGTGGGCAGTCACTTGACCGGAGTCACTTTGGTCGGAGTCACTTTGGATTGTTGGGGCTAATTTGATGTTGGTCACATGTTTGGAATTTTTAAAAACACTTCACTTTTTTGTCCTTTATCTTTTTTTAGTAATATCCAGGCCAAAAGGCCTATATTAAACACTACAAATCTGTTTTCAAAATTGGAAAACAGAAAAATGGAAAACAGAAAATGTGTTTACCAAAAAAATCCTGGAAAACTAGAGAAAGAAAAACATAAAATGTGTTTACCAAATTGATTTTCAAAACAAAAAACATGAGATATGTCTTTTGTTTATCTTAATGAATTCGAGAATTGAGTTTTACTAGTTTTCCAAATTTGGTAAACGCATTACGCATATGCTTTAGAGTCGCTGCAAGAAATTGCATACTTTGGAGTTTGGATCATGTCTCACTCCGATGTCAGTTCCAGTCCAATCCGGTGAACAACTCGACGGTCCCTGACCGATTGAGTCCGTTCAGTGGTCAAGCAGTTTTGTCTGGTCCGGTCGACGACCCGACTGTCCCGGTCCAGTCGACGACCCGACGATCTCGGTCCGATCAATTACTAGAAGGTCCCTGTCAGGTCCATCGACAACTCGGCCCAGTGCTTGTCTGGTCCATGATCCGGCAGTCCCTGTCCGATCCACAACTCGACGGACCTTGTCTGGTCCAGTCAATAACTCGGCAGTCCCTTTCCAGTTTGATCCATGACCAGGCGATACCTATTCGGTCTGGTCATCAACCCGACGGTCTCGATCTAGTCTGCTCAACTACTCAATGGTCCCTGTCTGGTCCGGTCGACGACCCAACGGTCTTGGTTTGGTCGGGTCAGTGACTTGACAGTCCTAGTCTGGTCCAGTCGATGATCTGGTCCCTGTACGGTTCGGTCCACAACCTGTTGGTCCCCGTCCTATTCGATCAACGACCTGTCAGTCCCCGTTACGTCCAGTCAATGAACTGGCGGTCTTCGTCCTATGTTCCCTGATAAGACCCGGCAATTGTTGTTCGGTTCGATTGACAACCGGGCGGTCCTGAGTTGGTCACGTCAATGACCCGACGGTCTCTGCCCAGGCCGGTAATGACCTAGCGGTCAGTCTCAGCATTTTGAAATCATTTTTTAAAGTGAAGCGTTTTAAAAGAGTCATTGAGTTGTCAAACAATAGGAAAATGAGAAAGAATTATTCTACCTAACCCTTGAGATCGATCAGGACAGGCCGATTTCAATTCGGTCCAGATTTTCCTATACGTGGGACATGGTACCCTACTTGGGTTGTACTAGGTTTAGTTCCGGACTGGAACCGTACTTTCGGTCTTCTGATCGGTCACATAACCGAGTGAAAAAATTTGATGACCATGTTTTCAAATTTGATAATGGAAAACTAAAAAATGAAAATAGAAGAGTGAAGATAGAAAAACTGAAAAATGAAAACATAAAATTGGAGAACGGAAAACAGAAAAGAAAATTGAAAATATCTCTATTAGTAAGCATGCCCTACATTTTCAAAAGTAAGTTAAACATTAAGAATTAATGAAAATAAAAAAATAAAATAAGAAGAAGAAAATTAAAATAAACTTTCCAAAAAAGAAAAGATGAGAGCAAAAAACAGGTGGAGGAAGAGGGGGATTATGACTAATACAGTAATACATACTTGGAGATGTGTTTTCCTTTATGTGGCATTTTCTATTTATCCTGAAAGTTTCAATTTCTTCTTTTATTTTGAACATAAAAAACTTTCCGTAGCTAATATTTCTGAGTTTTTCCCCGGAATAATGTTAATTAAATAAATAATTCCCAAAATATTGTCGGGTTAAGAATAATTCCCGAAATACTGTTGGGGTTAACCACGGTTAAGGAAAGCCGCCACTTCAAGTGGCGGCTCTTGTACAGCTTTACATAAGCCGCCACTCCAAGTGGCGACTCTTTTACTGCTGTATGAAAGCCGCCACTTGGACTGGCGGCTCTTGTGTTAAGCCACCTGCTGCTAAATTATTTACAAAACTAAACCTGTGATTACCATAAAATGCTCATCACAGACTCACAGTCCAATCCACAAAACCTGTAATTACCAAAAACTGCTCATCACAGACTCACAGTCCATTCCACTCAAAAAAACAACCAAACATATGATTTACTAAGACAAAATACACCCGAAACACAAAACCAATCAATCAAACTACATGACAACATATATCCAAAACACAAAACGAATCAATGCACCACAAAACTTGAAATAAACCGTAAACGTTATAAAAAATCTAGTGTTTCACAAAATGATTCGATCTGCCAGTGCATGCTACAACTTTCACACAATAATTTAAATACAACGATCATAAGTCAACGTGATCATCATCATCATGAAGTTCATGTGGCTGTGGTTGGGGACGCCTGCGTTGGTTACGAGGCTGGAGAACAACTCTATCACGTCGGACTGCCTGAGAAGACCCTGCTGCGGATGTAGATGCGGTGGAATGCTGAGAGGTGGCTATATATCCATAATCCACTCGACCCAATACATCAGCGCACAGTGAAACAATGCCCGAACAAGCGTCATGGTATCCCTGTACATCTACCGCCTCACTAAGTACAACAGTCGCTCTGTCATGGATGCTACGCAAAGCCCGTGTCTGTAATGCAAACATGGTTATTAGTGAAAAACACATGAATAAAAAAATAAAGATATTTTATTGACTATATTGTTTACCGTCATATGAAGAGCGACTGAGCTAGGCTGGTAATGATCAGTGGGTAAACGAAAACTGGGAGAGATAAACACCCGTGTGATGGTGTAATACCTCTCATGTACAACCTTTCCATGATTCATCAAATCCCGCAGGGAGCTCATAAACTTTAGTGTAGTGGCTAGATGGTGCATTGCCACTTACGAGATCACCACCATCTTCATCTGAATCTGTTAGTGTGTCATGGTTCACATTTTCATCTGCATCGTCGTCATTGCACTGTGAATCCAGAAAGGTTGCATCACTATTCACATATCTTCCATTCTCCTGTGTAACCATATTCATCACAACTGGAACACTTGTGGATGGGCAAGACAATGGCGGGTGGCCAGGTTGTATGGGCAACACCGCCACTTCTTCAACATATATCTCCATGGTATGCATATCAAGATTCTCGATTACAGTCCACATTCCTGTAACGGCGTCGTCGTCAGCAAGAGGCATCAGCATGTATGATCCACCATGCATGGGATATTTAACCTTCAAATCCAACTTCTTCATACGATTGATGGATGTGGCGGTATAAATTTTATTCGTTATTTCAGCCAGATCCACCCCACGGGAAACAACAATTATCTTCCGAATCCCTCCTTCATATTGAACTCCGTTTGACTCCTCGATAATATTTCCTCCCCATTGACAAACAATGGAGAAGTTTCTAGACATATTCTACGAAAAAATGTTCCAAAAAAAGTATGACGTATGCCGTTATTTGAAAATCAACTACAATTACTATAATTGAAACGAAAAGTATTAGATCGTAGATACATAGTAAGATTTCATACCATTAAAGTAGGACAAATAATAATTAACCAGTGACAAAAAAATAGAGTAATGAAAAAACAACAAATTAACACATGATTAATTAACACTAGTTAACTAGTTATAGAAAAGCAAAGTCCGTTAATAAACAATTAAACAACAACAACTTCCAGCAAATCAACAGCAATTTTGAGCAAAACAATAACAATTTCAAACAATTTCGAGCAATAACTAAAAAAACCTAGCTTTACCAAAAATGGTGAAACTTGGTATAATTCAAATTTTACAAATTATATAAGTTCAATCATTATAACAAGATTAAGAACTTATATATTTCACAACATCAAATACAAAGAAAATAATTAAAAAAACAACTAATT